GGATGGCACCCAAGGAGCTAGGAAAAGCCTGCTAACCTACCCTGGGTCTGGTGCAGTCACAGAGCCCTTGACGAATACTATCTTGTCTGCTTTTCGTTATCTGCATCGAGGGTGCCTTACAGTATTGTCTTGCACTTTTCACCCCAGGACAAATCAGAAAGAATCCCAAATAGTTCTCCAGTAAAGACCTAGGATGCAGCCACTGGATTATCCTCCTCATGTCTCAGGCACTCATTTATTTCTCCCAAAAAACTGTGAGGCAAAACCCATGCTACAGATGCTCAGAGAGGCTATCTCATCATAGGAATAACAATAGCAGTAGTCGTAGCTAAATATTTATTGAGTACTTACTACATTTAGACCTCATCCTAACGCTCTGTATGCAAAAACGCATATAATCCTCACAGAACCTCTAATGATGTAGGTATTGGTACCCCCATTTTATAGATGTGAAGACTAGAGTACAGAGAAGTTAAGGGACTTGCTTGAGGTGACCCAGCTACTAAGTGGCAGAATTGGTACTGGGACACGGATTTATCTGCTCCAAAGCCCGTGTTATACTATGCTATATTATAAAAAGTACAATAATATCCCTCACAAAATAAACAGCTATTTTATGCAGAGGACTGTCCATTTTGCCAGGAAGCTTCTATAAATGTTGGGATGCTTTTTTCTTAGATTTATTTTAGTTCATCTCAACCTTTCTAACTTGAAATCCACAGAGCCTTTTTATATTTTGTACCCACACCAGGGAATTTCAGTAAAGAAAAGGATGTTTATTGGTCATCAGATATTGTAGCTCTGAGGCACGAGAATCCCGTGAGAGTCGGGAGAGCAGGACAAAACCAAAGATGAAGGCAGGGTTTTCATGTAGACACAGTCCCTTAGGCTCTGATTTATTTGACATTTGTGAAGTAAAATTCAACTAGTTGTTTATGGCTGATTCGAAGCCCATGTCATACCATGTTTTATGATTCCAACTGAACAAAGTAGAGAAAAGTTCACAAAGGAAAACTGAACAGGTGTTTTGGAGCTACAGGACATTTATTTAGTTATATGGTGAAGGGGATCTGTTTGATGGCGGAATCATTAAGTTGCATAGGGTCATGGATTGGAGCACGCTTTTGTGGCTTCTAAAAAAACCTAGAATGCCTTTTATTTCCTAAAACTTCCTTTTGCAAAAGTGTCCTTGATTAATTCACAGACCTGCTCCTGTAACCATTGCCAGGGAAGCTGCGGTGAGGTAGTCAGGCCCTAACACAGCTCGATAGACACAGTCATGGTTTTCTGATGGTGACAACAATGACATACAAATTTATACCGTAGAAACTCTGAGTTCTCACTTTTTAAGAAGGTCATGGCTCTGGAGACACAGAGTGACCTGGATGCTTTGGATAAGAAAATCTCTTGACATCCTTTACTATCTTCCTTACCTTGGCTCTGCCAAGGGGACCTACAAGTTCACCCCAATTCTCTAACTTCTTCTGATCTGCTTTGGAGATAAGTCTAACTGTATGTTAGCTTGAAATAAAATCAACAAAAATGAGAATTGAACAATGTGCACATTCAAAGTCTTATAACACACGCTTTCACATATATTTTTTTTAGATAAGTGTATATCAGTTATCTGGATTTAAAACTCTGAATCACTGTGACCTGAGGCATGCAGTACAGTTCCTAGCACATGGCATGAACTCAAGAAATATTTGTGGAACAAATGCCGTTAAATAATTCTAAAATACACGTTTTGGGCTGGCCGGTTAGCTCACTTGGTTACAGCACATTGATAATAACACCAAGGTCAAGGGTTCGGATCCCCATACTGGCCAGCCACCAAAGAAATAAAAAATAAAAAACACAACAAAAACAAAAGTTTCACTGATAATTTTTTTTTCTTTTTTTCGTTAACATAAATCCCTTGTGTGCTTTGAAGATCCAGCATACCTGCCATATAGGCCCTGCTGAATATGCAGTATCTACTATTCATTCTAAAAATATTTAATAAGTATCCATAACATTCTCGGCACACTGAATACCATTTAATTCAACTGGTATAAAACTCTGAGGAAGAGTCTGGAAATGAATATGGTTCTATGCTTTATTTGTATTTTACCCAAATATGTCTTGTGTTTTTAAGTGGCACTAGAAAGTTGAGGTTGGATATGCTAAGACATGGCTAGCTTAAAAACCTAATTTCCATTCACATTTAAAATGAATTAGCATTAAAGACTTAGCAGTGTTGCGGGTGGGTTGTTTTGTATTAGTTTTCAGGGCATGCGTTTAGACTGGGCAGTTCCTGCAGAACTTCAATCATGGGGTCCCTTCCATGTGCATATATTTTAATCTTGAAAATACCCTGAAACAGGTTTTAGGTAGGCTGATATATAATTTATTGTCCCAACTGGAGCAATTTTGAGAGTGAATGGGGTAATATTAATAGTTATGCCAAGGCAACAGGTGTAAATCAGATTCTTAAGGTAAACAGGGTCACATGGTCATCCTAGTTAACAGGAAAGGACACAGGCTGGGGGATCAGGATTTGTCACACACTGGCTGTCTTATCATGTGCAAGTCACTTCCCTTTCTGGGTTTTAGTTTGTCTGAATGAAAAGTAAAAAGTTGTACTGAAATAAACCCTACTGCTTCCTTCAAAATCTACCATTCTGTGATTCTAAACAGACTCAAAGGAAAGAGTAATATTTTTGAAACAGCTTCAAACTAAGAGGCAGCTGGGCTAGGCAAGCACATTTTCATACTCTCCCTTTCCCCCCCTTTTTAAAAATTAAATTAAATTTTTTTATCGGTTATACATATTCATGGGGCAAGAGGTGATTGTTAACACCTGTGCCCAACACCCCCTTCTAAAACTACATAGTTACAAAAGCCTGCGTCATCTTTAAGNATTAAATTAAATTTTTTTATCGGTTATACATATTCGTGGGGCAAGAGGTGATTGTTAGCACCTGTGCCCAACACCCCCTTCTAAAACTACATAGTTACAAAAGCCTGCGTCATCTTTAAGATAAATCAGCACTTGCTTGCTTCAAGGCTGGCAAAAATTTCATATCCACTATCAGAGGATTGTGTTAAGAAGCATTCTAAGGACACGTCTGGGCTTAGCAGGAAAAAGGACTTTGGTCAATCAGTGATGCCTTCTGGGGTCATGACAATAGAAGAGAGAAGCAAGAAGGAAGAGAGGAGTTCTGGTATGTGCACGTGTGCCAGCTCTCTGCATAACTGACCTAGGTCTCTGGAACTAAAAAACAAAACAGTCTTCTCATATTTAGGGCAAGTCTTCCCTATGTTGATATGTAACACTGTGTTAGTCTCATTTAGGAAGATGTACTAAGCCATGTGAAAAGCTCAGAGGTTCCCTCCTTTTGGCTCTCCATGCTCTTTCCTATGCACTCAAGTTGCAGAGTATAAGGAACTGTCCTCAACCCTAGATGCATGTTAGAATCACATAGGGCTCTGGGGGTGGGGCTCAGCCACCAGTGTTTTTAACCTCACCCCACAGCAGGGGATTCTGTGGTGCAGGTGGGATAAAGAATCACTGGTGCAGAGGCTAGAACGGGAGAAGGGAGTCAGGACACCTAGATTCCAGTCCTTGTTCTTTATTAAGCCTGTGTGAACTTGGACATATTGTTTAGCTTATCTTAGTCTGTAAAATGACTTTGAACTCTTAGGAATTTTCTAGTTCTAATTTTCTGTGACTTAGAAAAATGAGAAGGTGAAGAATATCACGGTGTGTTAACTTAGACAATATAGATGTCCTCCTCTTTGTAAATTCAAGGAAAGCTGGCTTTGTTGTCAGAGAGATAAA